CTACTTCATCTATTCAGTGCACATGTAAATCACACATGGAACTAGATCTGTGCCTGAGGTCTTGTAAGATACTTTTATCTGTATTAAATGGCACTTGTCATTCCATGTTATCTTTGTGCGTGCTCCTAGGACTCTTCTGTACATGTATCCACTTTTTAAAAATTTTTTTTTAGATGTTGATGGATTTTTATTTTTTTAAAGAGAGAGAGAGAGAGAGAGAGTTAGTTTTTAATATTTATTTTCTAGTTTTGGTGGACACAACATCTTTATTTTATTTTTTATGTGGTACTGAGGATCGAACCCACCGCCCCCGTGCATGCCAGGTGAGCACGTTACCACTTGAGCCACATTCCCAACCCGCTGGACTTTTATTTTTTATTAAATTACTTATTTATTCTAATTTGTTATAAACGATGGCAGAATGCATATTATACATAGAGCACAATTTTTCAATGCACTGATTTTACACAAAGTTTTTCACACCATCTGTGGATGGACTTTTATTTTATTTTTTCATTTACTTATATGTGGTGCTGAGAATCGAACCCAGTGCCTCACACATGCTAGGCAAGCACTCTATCACTGAGCCACACCCTCAGCCCATTGTTCATTAGTCTTATTTCTACTTTAGTGCTACTTCCTTGAGGACCAGGACCAGATGCTCTGTTTCACAGGCATATTTTACAGTGTCTACACTGATGATATGTAGTCAGGGAGCCACCCCCAAGAGACCAAAACAGGCAGACATTGCATTAGCTTATAATTTTCTACTTTTCAAATTATTTGAAAGAATTTTTGTAGTCATTTGTACATATATGAAATGATAATTTAAAGGATATGGAGTTAAGGGATATTTAATATAAATAAACATCAAAACATTTTCCTCCTAAAAAGTGAGATTATAATCAACAGAACTCTAAAATTTTTGAATAATTACAAAAAAAAAAACAATTTAGAAACTGTGAATGAAACTTAAGAATAATTTTAGAAAATTTTCAAAGTCCTAATCTTCTAACTTAACCTAGAATTGTATTATTTTAAAATTTTGAGGATATACAATCCTAATAGGGTAACTCTTTCATTCTACCAAGATTTTTTTTTTTTTTGAATGCTTAACATGTTAAGTTCTTGGCTGTATAGATAAATTAGGAAATGGAATAAAGGGCATAAAGATTTGAAAATGAAGGAAATGGGATTTGGGGAAAAGAGGAGATAAAGTGGAAAGCAGAGTAAAGGTAAAGCGTGGTTAGTCTAAGAGCTAAGGAGTAAGAATGTAGAGAAACTGGAAATATTGTGCACTGGAAATCAGGGGGTAAATGTGCAGCCCCTGTGGGACACAGCCAGTTGTGGTCCAGTAATTCTTTTTCTGGGTATGTATTCAAAAGAACTAAAAACAAGATCTCAGTTACTGCATACCCATGTTCATAGCAGCATATTTATAACAGCCAAAAGGTGGAAGCAACCCAAGTATCTGTCACCAAATGAATGGATAAACAAAAGGTGGTAAATAAATTCAGTGGAATATTATGGAGCCTTAAAAGGGGAAGAAATTCTGACACAGGTTGCAACATGGATGACCACTGAAGACATGTGAAGTGAAATAAGCCAGTCACAGAAAGACAGATACTGTGTGATTCCACTCATAGGATGCACCTGGAGTAGTCAAATTCGTAGAAACAGAAAGTAGAATGGTAGTTCCCAGGACTGGGGGGAGGAGGAAATAGGGAGTTATTGTATGATGGGTGTTGAGTTTCTGTTATGCAAAATGAGACAGGTTGCCCAACCATGTGAATATACTGAATACTACAGAACTGTGTGCTTAGGAATGGTCAAGATGGTAAATTTTATGTTATGTTATTTATTGATTTTTGGTACTGGGGGTTGAACTTAGAAGTGTTTAACCCCTGAGCCACATTCCCAGTCCTTAATTTTTTTATTTTGAGACAGAGTGTCATTAAGTTGCTTACGGCCTCACTGAGGCTGGCTTTGAATTTGCAATCTTCCTGCCTCAGCCTCTCAAGCCACTGGGATTATAGATGTGTGTCACTGTGCCCAGTGTATGTTATACATTTTTAAAAGCTGCAGTAAAGCACTTCTTTTATAATTTAGTGAAAGAGATAAACCTGGCTCTGGGGACACTAGTTTTTGTTATGAGCAAAAGCTGAGGAGTTAGATTGTTAGATTTTCAGTTCCTGCCCAACAGGCATATCCAGGACCTTCTGAATATAACAGGATTGGGGCCAGAAGGGTGGAGTTTGTCATTACACCTTACAGGTACTCAACTTTTTTTTTTTTTTTTTTTTGGTGGTGCTGGAGATTGAACCTGGGGCCTTGTGCATGAGAGGCAAGCGCTCTACCAACTGAGCTATATCCCCAGCCTAGTACTTTCTAGATGAATGAGAGTAAGAAAAACTGTGAAGGATAGAATCCCAGGTTTGGCTTGTCTGGGGACAGCAGTAAACAAAATGGCTATGAGAAGAAAAGCAGCAGGTGAAGATTTAAAGGGCCAGCGCTGTACACCTGTACATGGGTCAAGTAGGTGAAGACAGAACAGTTACCTAGAGGACCTGCCTGCAGGCCTTCAGTGACCCTGCTGTCGTAGCCGGACTGGAGTGGTAGGATGGGGTTTCCCACTGCTCCTGCTGCACTCCCCTCCTCCACACAGGTTCTTTTTTTGACCATTTTTTTCCTCGTTCCCTGTTTTTTACCATAGTGGTACGTAATGGTTAGCTGTTACATATTCACACATGCACATAAAGTAATAATACATTTAAGCCAATATCATTCCCCAGCACTTCCTGCCTCTCTCCCCACTCTCACCCCTTGGTCCCTTTTCTATGCTGGTCTCCCTTTGATTTTCTTTTTCTTTTTTTTTCTTAATTAATTTTTAAAAAAATTTCCCTTTGATTTTCATGCGATCCCTGCCTCCCCACTCTCCTTTTTCTTTTTCCTCTCTAGCTTATACATCTGACAGAAAACATTTGACCCTTGGCCTTCTGATTTGGGCTTATTTTGCTTAACATAATGATCTCTAGTTTCATTCATTTTCCTACAAATAACATAATTTCTTTCTTCTTTATGGCTGAATAAAACTCCATTGTGCATGTATACCACAGCTTCTTTATCCATTCATCCAATGATGGATACCTAGACTGGTTTCATAGTTTGGCTATTGTGGGTTGTTCTGCTGTAAACGCAGATATACATGTATCACTGTAGTATGATGACTGTAATTCTTTAAGATATATACTGAGGAGTGGTATTGCTAGGTCACCTGGTGGTTCCATGCCTACTCTTTTGATGAACTTCCATGATGATTTCCTTAGTGGTTATGCTAATTTACAATTCCACCGGCAGTGTAAAAGTGTTCCTTTTTCTCCACATCCTCTCCAGCATTTATTATTATTTGTATTCCTGATGACTGCCATTCTGACTGGTATGAGATGAAATCTCAGTGTAGTAATTTCTAATGATGTTGGATATTTTTCATATATTTGTTGGCCGTTTGTATTTGTTCATTTGAGAAGTGTCTGTTTAATTCACTTGCCAATATATTGGCTAGGTTATTTGGGAGGTTTTTGTTAACTTTTCTGTGATCTTTATATATTCTAGATATTATTCCTCTGTCAGAAGAATAGATAGCAAAGTTTTTCTCCCATTCTGTAGGTTCTCTTTTCACATTCTTATTTCCTTTTGTGCAAAAGCTTTTAAATTTGATGTCATCCCATTTATTAAATCTGGGCATTTTATTTCCTGAGCCTAAGGGATTTTATTAAGAAAGTCTTTGCCTGTACCTATATGCTAGAGTGTTGGCCCTGTGATCCTTCTAGGAGTTGCATAGTTTCTGGTCTAATTCTTAAGTCCCATCCATTTTGAGTTGATTTTGTGCAGGGTGAGGGATAAGGGTCTAATTTCATTCTTCTACATATGGATGGATAACCAATTTTCTCAGCACATTTGTTAAAAAGGCTATCTTTTTTCCAATGTTTTTGGCACCTTTATCAAGGATCAGATGACTTTAAATATTCACACAGTTTCTTTTTTTTTTCTTTTTTTCTTTTTTTTTTTTTTTTTTGGTGGTGCTGGGGATTGAACCCAGGACCTTATGTTTGTGAGGCAAGCACTTTACCAACTGAGCTGTATCCCCAGCCCTCACACAGTTTCTTAACCTGTGGTTCATGGACTCTTGGGAAGGCTTTAGGAAGTCTGTCTATAGCTAAGAATTCTAGGTAAAATGTTTTATGTATGTATTTTTCTTTGGGGAGAGTTTCTCTGACTTTCACCAGGTTCTCAGTGGTTTCTATGATCCAGTAAAAAGTTCCATGTGACAGACCATATTGGTGTCAAAATCAGGGCATTTCTGCCACCCAGATTTCATTTAAATTATTCCTTCTAATGGACCATTAGGAGGAACTAGTTCCCTTGCATTTTAAATGTTATAGGAAAAAACATGGTATTTACTTTTGTCTCTGTAATCTCTGTACATTTCACTTTCCTTATTTCTAAGCAAGTTAATGGTTTCCGGATATTGCCAGGTGTGATGGCACACGCCTATAATCAGAACTTCTCAGGAGACTCAGGCAGGAGGATCACAAGTTCAAGGCCAACCTGGGCAATAAAGGGATTCTTGTCTCAAAAAAAAAAAGGGGGGGGGTTGCCAGGTAGTAAAAATGAATTTCACTTGCATAAGCATTTAAAATTTTTTTTCTTAGTAGGTTTTTATGTCATTTTCTGTTTTTCAGATTTTAGCCTTTATCTACGATGTGAACATTCTTTTGTTTGAATTAAGTCATTTTGAGTTCCTACAGCCTGTAAATTTTATATATTCATTGGCAGAACAAATCTGAATTAAAGCACAGAAATCCTTACTTTTAGAGGAGCCGGTTGGCATGCGTATCTTATAGCTTGTGGGATGATTGCTATTCATATCTTAAGACAGGAAGGCAATGAGTCCTGCTTTATTAACTCTATTTGTTGATTAACTCTGTTGTGCCAAACAGAACTGAGGCCACATTTTAGCCTGGCATCTGAGAGTGATACTGCCGATCCAGAAGACCTGGATGTAGAAGATGACCATGAGGAACCACCTTCAAATCAAACTGTCCGAAGAGCCCAGGCTGTCATTGAAGATGCTGTGGCTACCTCAGGGGGGAGCACACTCAGCTCCACTGTGTCCCACGCTTCCCAGAGCGCTCACCGATCACTGAACGTGCAGCTTGGAAGGATGAAGATAGAAACTAACAGGTAGGTCCCCTGGAAGCTGAGTGTGTTTTTGATCAACTTTAAAAGCCTGATCTAAAAAATAAAATAAAAGTTATTGGTAATTTTTTTTTTTAAAAAAAAGCCTGATCCACAGGACATACAAAATATGATTCCTTTATCTCATTCATGTATGTACACTTGATTAAATGCCTTTCTTTATAAAAGTAGTCTCTTTTGCCGGATACCACTTTCTGCCCCTCCCATTTCAATCCTTCTTCAGCACCTTTTGTTGTTGTTGTTGCTGTTTATTTATTTTTTGGTAGTGCTAGGGATCAATCCCAGAGCCTCATGCAGAAGCTTTTAAATTTAATGCCATCCCATTTATTAAATCTGGCCAGTCTAACACTGCGCTACACCCAGACTGATACCATTTCTTCAGCTGGTGCTTTATCTCCAAGTGCACTGAAAATTTCAGAGTAACGAAGTTGCACCCTCCTAGACTGTCTTGCCACCCCAAGACTTAGAGCAGCATGTTCCTTCCCACAGATAGCTGAAAGATACAACAGAGAGCCCACATTCTTGAAAGCCCAGGATTTGGAATATCGAGTTCTTTTAGGAGAAGATTTCTGCTTGAGGGGGCAAAACAAACTTTGTACTTTAGAACATTGAAAAGATGATAGATGAATGCACTTATGATTCCATTCTGTTTTTAATATGCTGTGACATGCCTGGACTGTAATTTGTCTTTGAGAATTTGGTAGCATAGAAACCACACAATCAGGTTTTTTAAAAAAATTTGTTATATATGACAGCAGATCGCATTATAATTAATATTACACATATAGAGCATATTTTTTTTCATATTTCTGGTTGTATACAAAGTATGTTCACACCATTTGTGTCTTCATACATCGACTTAGAGAAATGATGTCCATCTCATTTCACCATCTTTTTTATCCACCCATTGCCCCTCCCTTCCCTTCCCACCCCTCTGTTCTATCTAGATTTCATCTCATCTTCACATGCTTCCTCCCTCCCAATCCCACTATGAATCAGCCTCCTTATATCAGAAAATATTCGGCCTTTGGTTTTTTGGGATTGGCTAATTTCACTTAGCATTATATTCTCCACCTTTATCCATTTACCTGCAAATGCCATGATTTTATTCTCTTTAAATGCTGAGTAATGTTCAATTTTGTATATATACCAAATTTTCCCTATCCATTCATATACTGAAGGGCATATAGGTTGGTTCCACAGTTTAGCTATTGTGAGTTGTGCTGCAATAAACATTGATGTGGCTGTATCCCTGTAGTATAGTATGCTGTTCCACACGATCAGGTTTTTAAGTGAAGAGTAAATACTTCCTGTTCTTCACAGATGTTGGTACAGTTCAAGGTCTTTATGATTTATAGCTTCCTGTACTGGCTACCATTGACACGTGGAAACTGACTTTAGGCTCTGGGTTAACAATGAAAAAAGTTTTTTTTTTGTTGTTTTTTTTTTTTTTTTTTAGTGAATCAGGAAAAGGTGTTCAATATTTAGAAAACTTAGTTAAAAATTCTAGTTCACAAGGATATTAAAAAATCTTATTTCTAGTCATAAGTTCTGGGTTTTTATAAAAATTTTTAATTTTTAAATTTTGAGATAGGGTCCTGCTAAATTGTTGAGGCTGGTGTTGAACTTGGGATCCTCCTGCCTTAGCCTCCTGAGTAGCTGGCAATAGTAGGTGGCAGGCATATGCCACCGTGCTCAGTGAGGTTTTTAAAGTAAAGCTTGGATTCCAAACTTAGTGCAAAATTCATCTGACATTCAGAAACACGAATTTTTTTTGCATGATTTAGTAAATCCATATAGACTCATCTTCAATGATTTACATAGTGACCTTATTTTTTGGTTCTGGGGATTGAACCCAGGGGCATTTAACCACTGAGCCACATCCCCAGCCCTTTATTAAATTTTATTTAAAGATAGGGTCTTACTGAGTTGCTTAGGTCCTCATTAAGTTTCTGAGACTGGCTTTCAACTGGTGATCCTCTTGCCTCAGCCTCCCAAGCCACTGGGATTATAGGCATGCGCCACTGCTCCTGGTGAAACTTTTTTTTTTTTTTTAAATGAAGGGAAATTGGCTCTCTGACTTCATATCCCAATCTCACGCTCAGAAACCCAACTCTTAAAGAACGTGGGTCTTTTCTGAGACTTCATTTAAATCTTGGTGTCCCTCTGTCCTCTTCTCAAGCATTAGTCCAGTTCTAACACCCCGTCCATTATAATAAATGCTAACTTTAGTCACTTCTTTTTAGTTTACTGTCACCAGTCCCGCGTGGGGCTGTTTTTTGGACTCCTGCTCTGGTCTCTGGAGGAGGAGAGTTCCCATGTTACTGCTTTAGTCCAGCCCTCCTGCCCCTGGCTTCAGGTCAGAATTATACAGATAGCAAAGCTACTTTGTTTACCAAAGAGCTGGTAGATCTGCTCCTCTGGCTCTGAGGCCTCTCCTCGACACGCCCTGGCCATGTCAACAGGACCTGCCTCCCCGGGTACAGCTGGATACACACTCCTTCCCCTCTCTCCCTGGCCCGTTTCGTTGACCTCTTGTTCACCACCTGGCACTGCCTTCTGCCTGTCATGCTTGTGCCATCAGCTGTCCCCAAAGGCTGCTCTTCTCCAGCTGCTTTCTTCACATCTTCACATTTCTTTTCTGAAGCTTTCTTGGCTCCAGCTGAAATCCTGTTTCTCAAGTCTGCCCATCCCTCTTAGAAGAGTAGGATTTGCCACATGCCCTTACTAAATTCAAGACCAGCCTCAGCAACTGTGAGACCGTCTCAAAATAAAAAAATCAAAAGGGGCTGGGGATGGAGCTCACTGATAAAGTGCTCCTGGGTTCAACCCCCAGTACCCCACACACACACACATACACAAAAGGTAAATATGGATGATATCATAATTGACGAAAAACACTTTTCTGCATTTTTTGTAATGGCCCACACATTGGTGTGTTTTCTCTATAGTTACAGTTGAATCTGTGAAATCTATGGGAACATTGGCTCCTTTGTCTTTTTTCAGTAGTGTCTTCCATAGTTTCTCTGTTGCCCTCAGAAAGTAACATGGGCTACAGCATTTGCTTCATGCATGATTTGAAGAAAGGATGGTGATTTAGTACAGGCATTGAATAACTGAAAGCAGGGACCGGTTGTGTGTGTATGGGTCCCTTTAATTTTCATTTGAAAATTGCTTCAAATATAAATGTATGTATATTGTGAAATGAATCTAGAAGATGTGTGTGGTTGCTTTCAGGAAAGGTTGTAGTTCTCGTGTTAAAAAATCTTAAGCTTATGAATTGTGTTGCTATAAACATTGATGTGGCTGCGTACCTGTAGTATGCTGTTTTTAAGTCCTTTGATGCCCTTTAGTAGATGAAGGGATAAAGAAAATGTGGTATATATACATAATGGAATATTACTCAGCATTTGTAGGTAAATGGATGGAGCTGGAGATTATAATGCTAAGTGAAGTAAGCCAATCCCCAAAAACCAAAAGCCAAATGTTTTCTCTGATATAAGGATGCTGATTCATAATAGGGATGGTGGGGGAGCATGGAAGGAATAGACAAACTCTAGGTAGGGCAAAGGGGAAGGAAGAGAAGGGACTGGGCATACGGGTAGGAAAGGTGGTAGAATCAGATGGCAGTCATTACTCTAAATACATATATAAAGACATGAATGGTGTGACTCTACTTTGTGTACAACCAGAGACATGAAAAATTGTTGCTCTATATGTGTAATATGAATTGAAATGCATTCTACTGTCATGTAGAACAAACTAGAGTAAACAAATACATTTTTAAAAAATTTAAGTTTATAATATTTAGGATGATCAGCTGGGCATGGTGGCCCATGTCTATATTCCAGTGGCTGTGGAGGCTGAGGCAGAAGGATTGCAAGCTCAAAGCCAGCCTCAGCAATTTAGCAAGGCCCTATCTCAAAATAAAAAATAAAAAGGACTGGGGATGTGGCTCAGTGGTTAAGTACTTCTGGGTTCAATCCCCAGTATCAAAAAAAAAAAGGTTTTAGGATGATCACTAATGAACGTAAGTCATACTTATCTAGCTCTTCATTTTTAGAACATCAATAATTCTAAATGGCAAAAACAAAATGTATATTTTATTTCTATTTAAGAATATGCTTTCAGAAAATGTTCTATAAATTTATACACAAGTAGATGGAAGAACATTATTAAACCCCAGTTTGGAAGCAGCTGACTGGTTAGCTGATTTCTCTATCATACAATTCTATCAATTCATCTGAGTTTTTGACCTCACAGAAGATCCTTGCCATACTTTTCTAGAACACAAAGGCAAACAATTACCTTCATTACAAAATATTTCCCTACTAACTGAACCCAAAGTGAAACTAAAACTGGTGGATTGGATATATACTTAAGATAAATAATTTTAAGAGCTGGATTTGGGACAAATGAGGTGGCCTGTCAAGGCTGTGATTCCAATGCTAAGTTTTGGCATTTTGGGGGAGGAATGGGAGTACCAGGGATTGAACTCAGGGGTACTCAACCACTAAGCCACATCCCCAGCCCTGTTTTGTATTTTATTTAGCGATAAGGTCTCACTGAGTTGCCTAGCGCCTCAATGTTGCTGAGGCTGGTTTTGAACTCTTGATCCTCCTGTCTCAGCCTCCTGAGAGCTGCTGGGATTACAGGCATGCACCACCACACCCAGCTAAGTTCTGGCTTTTAAATATAAAAAAGAAGGTAGCCTAGGCAAACATGCATAAAATTCTAGAAAATGTCCTTGTGTTTGAGAAAACAGTAAGACAATGCCATTACTATTCCATACATGGAGATCATCAAGATAGACAAATATATGTACCAGACCAAAAAAATGGCTAGCTTAAAAAATCATTCAGAGCATGCTGTCCATTGTTCGAGTATCATTTATGCTGAAGAATATAGAAAGTCTCCCCCATGCCCTCTGCTTTCTCCTCTTGCTTTCCATTCATGCTGCTTAAGCCACCCACTGGTTCAGCATGTTCACTCTGCAGGTGTCTTTGTTTACCTTTCTTCCTCAGCCACGTTCTCTGCCTCTCATTGTGCTTTATTTTTTGACCCACTATGTTTTCTACTTGGTTATAGTCCTTCTTCCATCCTTAAGTCCTGTGGGAATGGAGTGGAGCTTGGGAGACTGGACAGGAGTCCCTGCTCAGCCCTTGCAGGACTGTTTTCTAGGGCCTGAGGCTGCACGAGGGCACAGAACAACCCTTACTAGAAGCCAGGCACTTTACCTGTACTTTCCCATTCAATGCTTACAGTAATCCTTTCTGCAAGATTTCCTTCTTAGTTTTACAAGTGAGAAAACTTAAAAGTCCAGGGACATTAGGTAATTTGTCTAAGATTAACACAGGAAGTGCATGGCTGAACTGGGCACAAGCCCAGACCCATCTGCAGAAACAAACTTTTGGATGGAACATGGTCCTGAGTTAAATCTATCCATAGTCAGAAAATGAAACAAAGATAACTCGTTAAGAGAAAAGTGTATGCAATAATTTATCTTAGTGATCTTACTTATAATTATACACTTTATATAATTCTGAGTTCAAGTTATACAAAGATATTTTTCTAAGAAGTAGAGAAATGGAGCATTTCTTTTCATAACTTGGAATGTTTTCTCCAAGAAACAGTGTTGGACATGGTGAGTAGGTTTCTAGTTGATTCTCTGTTGCACAGTGAACCTCCCGTGGTAAGAACTGTTATGAATATTATTTCTCCTTGTTTGTTGGAGGCTGCATCAAATGTCAACCAACAGCTAAAAGTACCAGGAACACAGCTGTCCTTTTACCCACTTTGCCAACCCTACCCTACCTCCCGGAAGTGAGAATAGGAGCAGCAACAATCATTAACATTTATTGAGCACTTGTCATGTGCCAGATAGTCTAGGCAATCTCATCTAGAAATATTCCTCAAATTTTCATCACTTAAGGAAAGTGATTACCTTTTTGTTTTTCATCGATTATGATATTATTTGTATTTACCAATTTGAATTGAACCCAGTAGTACTCTACCACTGAGCTCCATTCCCAGCCCCCTACACACACATTTTTTTTTTTTTTTTTTTTTTTTAAAGACAAGGTCTTACTAAGTTGCTGAGGCTGGCCTTGAACTCGTGATCCTTTTGCCTCAGTCTCTGGAGTCACTGACGTTTTAGGCAAGCGCCACCATACCTGGCTTAGCAACTGTTTTTGATGAGGGGTCTTACATGTAAAATTAACACCCCATATTTATATTTTTGACACTTATTATCATAATAAGAAATAGTAGAACCGTATCTCTGAAGATTGTAGAGGACCATCTGGGAGGATGTTTTCGAATTCTTGCCTCGAAGTTCAGTCTGCCAGAACTTTGCTGCTGGATTAAGGGGAGGAGGCTGAGGCCCTGCAAAATCAGTGTTGCCTAGGAGCTGTTGAGACATGCAGTCTCTGAGCTCACCCCAGAGCTACCGCGTCAGAATCTTTATTTCCATAAAATCCTAGGGGTGTCTGTGCTTGTTGTAGCTTGAGAAGCTGGTGTCCAGAATATCACTCTCTCAGCTCCAGCTTTATGATCCCCTCATCCAATGTTATTTTCTTCTGCAGATTACTGGAAGAATTGGTTCGGAAAGAGAAAGAATTACAAGCACTCCTTCATCGAGCAATTGAAGAAAAAGATCAAGAAATCAAACACCTGAAGCTAAAGTCCCAACCAATAGGTGAATAGCAGAAAATTTTGAAGTAACACTGTTCAACCAGGCTGCCATGAAAAGCTGATAAGGCCAACAGGCAGTTTTATTGCATGGCCTAGCATCTGTCCCTTCTACCACAATGACAAGTGGAATTTGCCATAGGGAGGGAAAAAAAAAGCCAATTCTTAACTGTAACAAACTTTTTTTGAGGTGCTAGGGATGGACCAGGCCCTTGTGCATGCTAGGCAAACATTCTACCACTGAGCCTTGGAAATTACCATTTCTTACAAGTGTAGTAAAAATGGATGATTCATAGTTACCTTTCCTGAGATTATATATTATTGAGGTAAATAGGGATTTCCACATTTTTTATCTTTATTTCTTTTTAAAATTTCACAATGAGATTATAGAATAAAATAACACTATTTTGTTTTGCATTTGTATTTGGTGTATTCTAGCTCTTTTTTTCCCCCTTATAATTTGAAGAGGCTTAAATTGAACAAGGTACAACAATAAAAAGTCATGGGTTGAAACTTTGAAGAAATCTACTCCATGAGAAATTGATGGTGAAAGTTAATCTTTAGGAAATATTATTTAGCCAGTTTAAAAGAAAATTAGTTATTGGTTCAAATATTTGGTTCTTCCATATTATTATAAATAGTGAAAAAAAATCAATTATTATAATTATACAGTTCTCTGTTGTTTTCATCTTTGTTGCTTGAAAAACACAAAGCCACAAAGTTTATTCTAAGAAACTATGAAATTGATGTGGAAGTGTCTTACATTATTGCTTCTGACTCTCCACTCACTAGTGGACTAACTTGTCTTCTGTTTATATTATTGTTCATACTGCCAGTCTCAATGGTTCCCATTAACTATTCTCTTGATAGAGTGAAATCTTTTAAAGTATCCACAAATGTCTGGGTACCTTGAGGGGATCAGAGGACCTCTGGTAGGTGAAGCTAAGAATGTCCCTCTCAAATCTGGTTCTAGATATTCCTGGGTTGGCTGTGTGTCACCTGAACTCTCCTGGCACAACCACTGAAGATTCTGAGCTTACTGACTGGCTGAGAGAAAATGGAGCTGATGAGGACACTATAAGTCGGGTAAAGAAAACAACCTGTGGGACCCATGTTCTTTCACTTTGTGTCATAATGTCAAGGGCCTGCTGCCTGCCTGGCATATTCTAGGCACAGAGGATATACTGAGCACAGATCAGATCCAGCTGGCAGATAATTCCACAGATTAAAAAAAATAATTATTCACTGTTAATTCTATGAAGGAAAAGTTTTGGGGTGAGGGGGGGTTAGGGAAGGTTCTCCTGGAAGGTTATGGATAAAGACAAAGAAATATGGAGAATAAAGTAGGTCACCTATAGGTAGATATTTAGGGTGTAAACAAATAGGGGAAGATCTTTTGGGGGTTGGGGTACAGAATGTACAAAAATAAGAAGGCAGGCAAAAGCATTGCTAGTCACAGCCATTAGGGATTTTAATGTTTTTGAATTGAAAATAAGGAAGGGGGGGCAGTCAAAAGAGAACTGAAAGAAAAAAGCTGTTCTCTGGCTAATATTTTTGTTTGTTAGATTTTTAATTCTCTGGGCAGTGGATATTTGTTAAAATAGAGCTACTTAGTGAATGTATGTCAGAAATGTTTTCTCTACTAACTATATTATATCTGTAATGACTTAATTCCTCTTTGATCATTATAGACTTTATGGTGAGCCTGAGTAGACATTTGTGTATTAAAATTATACATATGTGTAAACACATATACTTATTAAGAGGTGATCTTATTTTTACTTGATAGAAAGGACCTTTTAATGTTATATTGATTTCAGTTTTAGATTTAAATTTTCAAAAGCTAAAAGATAGTCTTCTTCCTTGATAATCTGTTGGACCTCTAAATAAAATCTGGGGTCTCCTTAGAAGTCTGCATTCACAAGTTGCTGCTAACTAAGCTGAAACAACGCTCTTGCCAGTGGGAAATAATGCATCCAATCAAGTTCTCCAAAATATGTATCCCTCTAACTTATGCTCAAATCACAATTGAGGAGTAAGAATTAATGATCCTCTAAACCATTGCCCCTTTGTTTGACTTAAAATTGAAAAGCTTCAGTTTTTAAAGCAGGACTGTGGATTTTGCAATGAATTCTAAGAAAGTCAATTTCAATAGCCATGAAAAAGTAAGTTCGGAGACCAAGCATAAGCAGTAACTCTCTAGGAACATTTCTGTCCACTTGAGTAAAAACAGAGCTACACAGCACCAAGCCTCTGCAGTACAAACAAGGGTCTATGAGCCCCAGATGGAACTGCTAGTGAGCCTTCTCTGTTCCTTAGAAACCCATTCAGAAATTGTGTCCCTTTAGTCCATGCATTTGGAAGTCATGGATGCATCTCTTTGTAATTCTTTGTAGTGGGGAAGCCTTTTCTCTGATCATTCCTGAAGATGGTGCTTTCAGTGGATTTCCTTGTAGATTCATTTTTAATCATTGCCAGTGTTTGTGTTATGGACAGAGTTAATTTTTTAAAAATAAATAAGACACTTATTTTCTGCACATGCTCAACTTTCTCTGCAGTTTCTGGCTGAGGATTATACACTCGTGGATGTCCTCTACTATGTTACGCGCGATGATTTAAAATGCCTCAGACTAAGGTACCACTTTTCTTTCTTAGTTGTGAAGGCAGAACGAGCCCTGTGCTGAAATCAAAGAATGTTCCTGCCCTCCTGGTCTCTAGCTAGCTCTGTGACCATAGGCACAGCTCTCTTGTTTTCAGCCACCCTGGGTAAACTTAACTGGGCCAGGCTTTTTTGAGTACTCCAAAACCAGTAATTCTGTAGAAGGGAGAATTTTTCTTGAATAATATACAGACTAAGACCATGCAGGTATGATAACGTTTCATGATCGTCTCATACTTTTTATAAACACTAGGATGAGGGGATGGTTTGCCACCTCCAAACCTGCAACCATCTGAGACAATTTGTGAGTTTTCTCTAGCAGGTCAGGCATATCCTTTACTACTCCACCCACCTCTATGAAGACATTTCAAAAATGCTGAAATAGAAACTGATGGTTTGAGGCCTGGCAGTTTGTGGGAGTGGAAAGGAAAGGAATGGAGAGATGATGAGAAAATGTGTATAAAAAGAATACTGATAAGATGTGGGGATCTTCATGTTCTCATCAAAGCAACTGAACCCTTAAGAAGTCACTTGTATATTTCAAGGGCAGTGTTTCAAGTGAAATGTTCTCTTCACCATGTTCTTGTGTCTTCACGCAGGGGAGGTATGCTGTGCACACTGTGGAAGGCGATCATCGATTTTCGAGACAAACACACTTAACTACCATGCAATTTGATCTTCGGTGGAGAATCTGAAAATTAATACAGAACTGATCTTCTTAGGGGAGGGAGAATCGAAGGGAGAGAGAGAAGCTGCACTTTAAATCCAGTATTTGTTTACTTTCGTTAAAAAAAAAAATAGACAAGACACACTATGAAGTTTCCTAACTGCTTCTATTTCTACATCCTTAAGGACTCTTCATAAGGACTCTCAAAACAATCCTAATTAGAATTCTAATATCGAGGGTTATTTTAGTCTAAACATTTTTATGGAGATATTTTTAACTCAGCAGCTATTGCACTTCAGCCAAATGTTTATTTCACACGAAACAGATACACAACATTTCATGTGATCGTGTACCACTGGAACAAAACCAAAATGTGACCACAACTTTTTAGGATTGTATGTGTTTTGTAATATGCCCAAGAATTGAAGTAGAAATGCAGAATTTCAGTTATTGTATAAAGTTTATGTTTTTTTTAGTGTGCAGAATCTGAGAGCAATGTTTTTTACTATCTGTATTAATTGTAATATTGACTGTATTTTGTAACTTAATGTTTCTGGCCTGAAGCGCATTTGTCTGTTTATGTACTACTGAACATACCAGTTGCACATGCCTGGATCATAGTAATGTTAGCTTGTTCTAAAGCTATTCATTGTGTTAACCCATTGTGTTATATTTACTCTAAAATTAAAAAGACTCCCAACATACTGTTTTGATAAATTCCAAAGAATTCTTATTTTGTGTTCACAAACTAAATGATGGTGTTAAATTTCCAGTTGTTTCTTCAACTTTAAGTAGACTCTGTCTTCTGTTCAAACAATCAAAGGACAACTGATGTCCAAATTGTTTTCAGGGGACAACAGGCGGATGAAAAAGAGAGTGAAGAAGAAAGATAATAAAGGAAAGCCAATGTGTTTTTTTCAAAGCCCCAAGTTATTTTGAATGATGATTATGTATCGTAAGGGGTCTGCAAAGAACATCCTAATAACCCTGAAATGTCATATTTGGGGATTTTTTTTAAGCTTTTCTTCTTTTTACCCTCAGTACTAGGAATTGAACCCAGAGCCTCCCAGTCTGGTAGGTAAGCCTTCTACAACTGAGTTACATTTCCCAGCCCCTTAAATACTATATTTTTATGAGCCTGACCTTGTTAATAGGATTAATTCTAAAAGTCCTAATAGATGGGTGAATGAAATAAATTTCTTACATACACAGGAATCTATTACACAGGATAGAAGTAACAAGAGTTGTTTGTGTATCATGACTTGACCCACATAAAAGTCTTTGATAATAGGAATCATCATTAAGTGAAAACGAAGATACAGTATTTCTTACATTGCATTAGAGAATACAAAACATTATCACAAATATTTTCTCATTTGACAGCTGGAACAATAAAACAGCTACATCTTATTTTACATCCTAATTTGGAAGGTAGATTGTTACCTCTTGCACCTTGTATGGAAATTTCAAAGGAAATAAGGTCTAAATTTGATGATGTTTTATTAGACTCACACTGAAATGCAGGGTACCCTCACTAATTCCAATGCCCAAGTGTTTCTCTTGGACTATATGTATATAGGCTCAAGCTACCCTTTTTCAAATAACTCCTCAGTGGTACAGTCTTTTTTGGGACTTTTCTCCTACCCTTTCTCTGTGGGCACATGTCCTACATGGTTCATAATACATTTCTAATTCAGCATCATTAGGCTTTTGTCATTTTGTGTCTTGGGCACAAAAGTAGGTAGTTCTGCTAATAGGTTCAGGAAAAGTCTGCACTATAAAGGCCTTCAACATCAATCGAGGCCAGGATTTTCAGTCTAGCTTCCTGTTAAAATGAGCTTGATGTTGATTAAAGATAGTGATGCTACCTGGGCTACAGTATAGCTTAGTGCTAAAGCTCATATTGAATACAGACAAGGCCCCGAGTTCCATCCCCAGCACCCCACCTCCACCAAAGAAAAAAAAAAAAAGATTGTGCGCCACCACCTCAGAAAAACTGTTTTAACTGTTTTTTATTGGTCTGGAATGGGGCAGATACCAGTTTCATAACACAATCCAATCCCAAGAAGGAAATTCCAGGTGACACCTGAAGAGGGAAATGGAGAGCCACTTCCACAGAAGTAGTAGTCAGATGGTTATATTCATCGGTTGTTACAGACACTACAAACAGGCTGGGAAAAAACTTATCACTCAGCTTGTGATCCCAGGCAAATTAATTAGCCTCCCTGTGTCTGTTTCCTCATCTATGAAATGGGTGTAACATCCCTTCCTCATATGGTTGTTGTAAGATTCAGAGAAGAGCTGAGTGCTGTGGCACCTAGCTGTAATCCCACTGACTCAGTAAGCTAAAGCAGGAGGATATCAAGTTTGAGGCCAGACTCAGCAATTTAGAGAGAACTTCAGGAACTTAGTGAGACCTTATCTCAAAAAAGGACTGTAGGTGTGGCTCAGTGGTAAAGTGCCCCTGGGTTCAATCCCCAGTGCCAAAAGTAAATAAAATAAAAAAAAGGCAAGTGAGGTGCTTAGCACAACACTTGGCACATATAGTAAGGACTCGGGTGCTGCCTGCTATTGGGATGGCTTGTCATTCACTCAAAAACACTGGGTAGTACTCAAGTTCACTGTAAGAGGTGGAATTAAGACGCATCAGAAACATCAGTGGTGTAGTAAGTGCTCCAGTTACATCTAACTGCCAGAAGGGATCAAGAAAATCTTCCCAGAGAAGTGAAGTGATCTTGGAAAGATGGTTTGGAATAGAACAGTTATGCAGGGGGAGTGCTTGACGGAAATACTGGGAAAAGCAGATCTAATGTTTCCTTTTATTACATTTAGGTCTTTTTCTCCAAACTCTATCATCATATACTTTGTTTCATTCATTGCTAGGCCACCACATACAGGAGTTTGGCAATGAGGAATTATCATTCACCCATTTGAATGCCTACTAGGTGTGAGGCACTGTATCAGTACAAAAGACGTACTCATGATGGCAGGCAGGGCACGTGGTGTCAGCAAGGTCATCGGCAACCTGTCAACAAATAATATAATGGATGGTGCTAGACCTTATGGAAACCCTGTAGAGAAACAGAAGACAAAGTCCTACTACCAAAAATACACATCAAGTTGAAGACACAAATTTGTACAAAGTTCCACCCAGTCATATGTTAAAGGCAGAGGATGAGTGGCAAGCCCAGCAACCCCTGGTGAGGGTCAGAGGACAGGGCTGCTGAGAGCCAGCACGGGGCGAGGGGTGGACTTAATAAAGGAGGCAGAACTTAACCTGGGCCTTGTAGGAAAGGTGTTATTAAATAAGTTGGGACCAGGGAATCACTGTGGGCAGAGGCCAAAGGTTAGATGGAATTTGAAAGGTGTTGTGGAGAAGTGAACAACTTGGTTGGCTGGAACTGTGAGTAATACAGATAAAAGATAGAAAATGGTGTAGAGGAAAGTTCAGGGACTGATGGGGCAGTAGGGATGGGAAGGGAGTGGGGTTGATATTTTATTACGCAAAAATAGGGAATCTCTTAAAGGGCTTTGAGCAAGGGAGGGGAATATATAAAGTGGTTGTGTATTATAAGATTCACCTAGTGAATTTGTGTTAAGGTAAGTTAAGGGAACTACACTGGACTCATGAATGAGTGTCTGACAGGAGTCAGGCTAGTAGGAAGTTGCGGGGCATGAGTTAATTGAAAAGATTTAGGGACTAAGATTGGTGATGAAAGGGAAGGATAGATGTTGAGCCTAGGTGAGTAAGAGAAGAATTCAAATATGGGAAATTTGGAGGCAGAGCTGGCTTAGGATTTGTCAAATCAATTGGCAGGGCTTCATGATGGAATTGCACAGAGACCAACAGAGAATTAGGAGAAATTAGGGCTGAAGTCAAGGATATATATTCTGGATTTGCGAGTTGCCTGGAGTTAATAGTAAATGAGGGCTGTAAGAGACAGAGAGAGAAGGGCTGTGGCTGAAAATTTAGGTGGGAGGGGAATCTAAGTCAACAAAGGACCCTAAAGAACTGGCCACAGGCATGAATCTAAGCCAGTGGGCAACCAAGAGGAACATGATGTGGGATCAGGTCTGCTGAAAGTTCAGGGAAATGATGGACTGAAATGCAACGAGTAACCTAATTTTGTGATGTGGGATTATTTATTTTAAAAAGAATGCCAAGAGCTCATGCTTTCATTACTTTTGATGAACAAAACATGACAATATATTTGGGAGGGTTGGATATCAAAGGAAGATATTTTCAGAATCAAAGAAGGCCCCTGGTGGAGAAACATCTAGGGAGCACAGAGATGAGGGACATGATTTCAAAGGAGGCAGAAGGCGAGCAGATGCAGACGGTATCAGGAGGTCCAGCTCCTCCCCTGGACAGGGAACTGTGAAGATTTGCAGATTCAAAATGGATATGGGAGTTCCAAGCAGATGGCTTCCATGTTCCAAGTAAAGTACAACTTGAAGTACCATGTGATGGTGTTTGACATTTAACAGATGTCATCCATTCTCTGCACAGTCATTAACACCTACCCTGCTGGAGATACTGCATTAGGTTTAGAACACAGAGTCTGCACAGGGTCCAAGTGCAGGATTTGGGAGTGTCCCTTATTACCTTTAGTTTGTTTTTAGCTTGGGGCAGACTGAAACATAAGTTTAAAAAAAAAATCGAAAAATGGCCAAGCAAACAACAAAACAAACACCAATAAGTTGACTTATCAATAACTTGCTGGTTTACTTAGTTGGTAATTAGAAGATTGAAAACAAACTGTTTTCCTTTTCCATGATTCTGTCAAATATTTCAACTATAAATTCAGATAAAAGAGTCTTTCTAGAATTTAGAGAAAAGTATCTTAAAAAGAAGTGTCTCAAAAATGACTTAATATGTAGTAAAATTATCTTCTTGAGGCTCAAGCTGCGTTCTAAAACTACCTCCACTCACCTGCTACTTTATTTCCAATGAACAGAAATCTGTTCAGACTGATTTACATTTACATTTACATTAGCATAATAAGATTGCCTTTCCTTTGTAGAAATGGTACTATAGGAAAACCCACAACCCATAACCACAGACCATAGCAGAAATGTCCCTTCATCAAAACTTCTACACATTCAGTGGGAAAAACAGTCAATCAAACAGAAAGACTCAAAAAGTCAGGTCTTACAGGTAAAGATTTTGAAAATTGTCATCTCAGCAGGAGATTCAACATTGTTTTCAGACGCCCTTGAGTATCTAATACATTTTGCTGTGCTCCCTTTAAAAACCTCTGAAAGGGTTTTAAACTTCTGAGAACTTGATGGTTATGCTCAGTCATTGGAGGGTGTGGGAGTGCATTTCTATGTAACCAGGCGGAACAGGTTGCTGCTCAATTTTTGTTCCTTATGTTTCCATTTATGTAGGGTTTTTCTCTCTCTCAGCGTTTTGTTGCTTATCATCCGTTTAGGGCAGAAATTTGTTCTCCTCGGCTAAGAATCTGATTAATTAAATTTAAAAAATCATCATTGTCTATTGCTTTTTTCCCCTGGTCTTCCTGATTAAACCAGCAGTCACAAGGTAGTTTACTAATTGGAAACCAAGAATAAGAAAAGCCACATCAGTCTGCACAAGCTTCACTACCTTGTGTGCCCTGGAGCTCATCAGACAGAAGGCCTGGTGAAAGAGAGTGTCGCCAGCAATGGCTTCCCAAACTGCGGATCGAGAGCGGACCCCAGCGTGGAATCCGGAC